CCGTTCAGCCAAGCTCCACCAAGGCCATTCAACCCCTGCTGGCCCTGACTAGCTCAGCCTCCATCAGGGACCAGTGGCCAGAGCTGGCCTCTGGGAGGGGGACGGAGACACTAGGCATGGAGGGCTCCCTTGTGCGCTGAGTAGGGGGCTTTACCTGACTCCTGGTATCAGCCCTGAGGATTTTGCTTGTCCTGGATGCCCCCTTCCCTCCACCTCCTGTCCCCAGCCTGCTCTAAGCTCCTATGGGATTGGGGTGATGGAGCTGACATGGCTCTTGTCAATTCTCCCTCCAACACGCTGCAAACTGCGTTAGGCCAGGAATGATCTCCCCCTGATTCAATTTGTCAGCCCCAGGCCCTCCGGCATCGGGCGCGGCAGGCGGGCGGGAGCTGGGCCCTGAAATATGGTGGGCGGCTCGGAGCAGGCGGGGGCAGGGGCGGTAGGTGATGGATGGGCTGTGGGGGAGGCGAGGACTGTGTTTAATAACAAAATTGGTATGCAAGGCCACATCCCGCGCTAAGCATGAGTGATCCAGAGCCACAAAGTATTACAAATCCCTGCTAAACAGATGCTGACAATGGAACAAGACGTATCAAATCAGATCCACTTCAGAAACATTAATATCCCTGTTCCTGTCCCTCCCTCCCTGTTGCCCCCACTGTGCTCACCACATCTGTGCTCACACATTCACGCATGTGCACTCACACACACATACAGATACGTGCACACAGAGGCACTGGCTGAGCCATGCAGGAGGCAGACACAGCCCGTTCACATGGGCCCCTGCACAGATGAGCCCTGCAGGCCGGGCATACCCACAGAGAGACCCGTAAGGCACAAAAGACACATTGACACACCCAAGGCAGGATGCATGGGGCACACACGGAGTTACAGGGCAAATGCACAGGGAGCACCCACAGAGGCAGACACACACACACCCAGTATGTGAGCAAAGGCTTTTAGGCAGATTCAGATAAAGCAGTCGTTGTCACCCAGGGGACCTGTGGCCACTGGAGACCTTTCTGATCGTTACGACCGGGGGCAGGGAGTTTGCTACTGGCACCTGGTGGGTAGGGGATATTAGCCATCCTACCATGTATGGGGTAGCCCCTCACAACGAAGAATTATCTGGCCCCAAATGTCAAGGGTGCTGAGGTTGAGGAACCCTGGTGTAAAGGCAAATACTCACATACCCACGGTCCATAATTCTGTCAACAGTCACTCTGACACATGTGGTCACAGCCAGAGGCTCAAACGTGTTGTAAATAAAGACACGTTCACAACGGTCACCCAGATGTGGGTGAAGAGCTGCTCAGGCCCCAACATCCACATAAATGCATGCATAGATACAGATACCCACATGCACTGAAACACAGCCAGATACTCAGGCGTCCACACAAGCAGACACATATGGACACACACCCACACAGACACACGCATCACAGTGCAGGGGCCACCAGGCTGAGCAGCAGGGTTGAGGCCAAGGTCTGAGTGTAAAAACAGAGCTGTCCGCCTGTCTGATCACACAGTGTGGCCATCACACACTGGGGAGGACAGCCAGACCAGGTTTCTATTCAGTTCCCTTTGGTTCCTGAACAGTCCCTGTATTCCTGTGCCCTGCCAGGCCCTGATCTAGGCAATGGGGACACAGAGGAAACTGGGCGCCCTCAAGGAGCAACTAGTTGGTGACTTGATTCCTTTTAGCATCCCTTCAGTCCACAAGGACGGACATCCCACTACACCTGTGTCTGGACAGGTACAGAAATGAAGCATCTACCTTGTGACAATGTTCTCACTGGACTCCTGGCCTGAGGTCTGAGCTTTGTCTGAACAGGATCAGGTTGGGACAGAAAAGGAAAGGGTGAACCATGATCGTGCCCACCACATGTGATGGGTCTAGCAGCTGTGGGCCAGGGACTTTATATGTGTTCTGGTTTTGAGCTTCACCAAAAACTTTACAAAGTTGCCTAACAGGGATCCCTGGGTGGCGCAGCGGTTTGGCGCCTGCCTGTGGCTCAGGGCGCGATCCTGGAGACCCAGGATCGAGTCCCACGTCGGGCTCCCGGTGCATGGAGCCTGCTTCTCCCTCTGCCTGTGTCTCTGCCTCTCTCTCTCTCTCTCTGTGACTATCATAAATAAATAAATTAAAAAAAAAAAACAAAAAAAACAAAGTTGCCTAACAGAGGTAAATGACACCTCTCTGTTCACACAGTCCATGTAGGGTTTGGGATTTGAGTTCCTGCCGCACCAAGTCCGAAGCCCTGCTTTTCGATTGCTCACGCTGCTTCTCTAAAGATACTCAGGGGCTTAGGATAGAGGACGGAGCTTGGAGTTCTTTTGCTCTCTCCACTTTGGGGAGCATCCCGCTGACTCTGGGCTTTAGTTTCCTCTGCTGGTGAGCAGAAATGAGGACATCTAGGGGGAGAACATCCAGCCTCTCCCTTTTGCCAATTCTCTTCCCTTTCCCTCAGGTTGGACTGGTACTGCCTCAGGCTCCTTCCCTCTCTGTGCGCAAGTGCCCCCCCTTTCTTCCAACAACCCGATGGCCCTAAGTGTGCTTGGTGCCCCAGGCACAGGAGGCTGGTGAAAAGCCTGCCTCGGGAAGGAGAGGTCCGAGCCCCAGAGCTACACAGATGGCTCCTGCCCAGCCCATCCACTCCTCTGCTTTCCATCCCTCCCTGTTTCCACAGCCCGCCCCCAACGATTTCCTCCCTTCTCAGTCACTCGCTGCCTAGTGATCCATGGGTTTTAAATTATAACTGGGACCCAGGAAACGCGTTCCTAAGTACAATATTCATGGGCTGGGCTGACACTTTTAATTAAGGTGATTTACACTGAATTATCCTTGGAAATAAAGAAATGGTGTGCTGCCCGGGAATAAACCATCATCACCAGCCGCCTTTGTAAGTTACACTTCGTTTTAATCTATTTGGGGAATTGTTTATCTAGTTCATTACCCAACCAAACACCGAGGCCGGCCTTAAATAAGGCTTAAGTGGGGGTGGGGGCACTGCCATCTCCATACCTCGCCTTTCTAGAGTCACCCAGCCTCCCTGTGGCTCCTCTCAGCACTTTGAAAGCATGACCAGAGAGCTGGCTTCCCATCCTAGAGGCCAGAAGCCTCCCAGAAGAGGTCCCTGGGCTCAGGCCTTTGCACACATCCAGTCTCCACCCCATCACCATCCCAGAGACATCTTAGGCTTAGCAGAGCCCTGTCCATTGTCTCCTCCTTTCCTCGGAAACTTGCTTCTCTGCCACCATCAGCCTTCGGGTCACCCAGGTTGGGAAGCGCTTCCTAGTGAGTACCCTGTGAGTAATCAGCTACCTCCTCCTGCTTCTTCCTCCACCAGTCTCTCATCATTCCCTCTTCCCGTTCCCATTGCCACCGCCATTGTCCCAGGTCAGTGGGTCAGTTCGTCATCTGTCCCTCGGCCCTGCCCAACCTCCTCACTTGCCTTCCTGCTTCTCTCCCCGATTCACGCTCCACGCTGGCCTCCGGAGTGATTCTCCTACAGGTCTGCAATCTGGTCAAGTTTCTTGGCGGCTCAGCAATCTTCTAACACTCCCACTGCATCCAGGACAACCCTCCAGCCCTGGGAGCCCCCTACAGTCTGCCCTTAGTCTAACTTTGCCCTCCTTGTTCTAACTAGCTGAGTCCTGGGGTCCGTTTGTGCTCCTGAACAGGACTGAGAAAGGGGAGGCTGGGGTGAAGGAGCGTGCGTGGGCACAGCCTCTTATCCCAAGTGTAAAAGTACTTTGAGGGGCGTCCGGGTGGCTCAGCGGTTGAGCGTCTGCCTTTCGCCAGGGTCGTGATCCTGGGTTCCTGGGATCGAGTCCCACATTGGGCTCCCTGCATGGAGCCTGCTTCTCCCTCTGCCTGTGACTCTGCCTCTCTCTCTCTCTTGAATAAATAAAATCTTAAAAACATAAAAAATAAAAGTACTTTGAAAAGTCTAAGTAAGTGCCTTGTCAGCAGGAGTTTTGAGTCTTCTCCTTGTAGGTGTCTGTGCGCCCATGTACCTGTGGGAATGAGCACGGGTGGGAAGCGGTTCTTTCAGGGTGCATGTGTGTGCGTATCTACGTGTGTTGGAACGTGGGGGTGTGCATGTGCCTGTATGTCATGTACACGTTTGCCTGTCTGTGAAAACCGGCCAGCTTTCATTTGGGAGTGAGAGGTCCCTGCTTCTCTGGGTGAGCCCTTAGGTGTGTCTGAAGTAACAGCCTGCTGGGTGGGGGGATGGTGTTGGTGAGGGGGTGGGGGGGTGGGGGGAGGTTGCCGCTCTGTGCTAAGGGAGGCAGGAGGCACACATAACAACCAGGCCCATTCTGAAGAACTTCGGGGGGGGGGCGGCGTCCCAGGTGGTAGAGAGGCCCCTGCAGCAGCACCTACAGACTCCCCAGCCCGCAGGGGTGGGGGAAGAGAGGCAAAGGCGGGGTAAGAGAAGGAAGGGGGCCGCTGGAGAGAAGAGGAGAAGGGCCAGGAGGCGGGAGGGAAAGGAGTGATTGGAGAGCCCAGGAGGAGGGCTCCGGCCGCCTGCCGTGGGTGGGGGACGCCCAGGCACACGCAAGCTCCGCCCTCCTGCAGGACTCAGTTTCCCCATCTGTGAAGTGGCCGGTTGGAGGTCCCGTTCAGCTCGGGGAGCCGGCGGCTGGGAGGGGGGAGGGAGGACGGAGGAGCCCGGGAGCCCAGGGGCGGCCCCCCTCCCCGCCTCCCTCCTCCGAGGCCCGGCAGGGGCGGGGCAAGGGCGGCGGGGCCAGGCCGTCCCGCCCGGAGGGAGCTGACACGCTCCTCGGGAATTTATCACGCACCCAATTACAATGTTAATTGGCAAGTTCCTGAAATCAATTAATTCGCAAATTTTTTCCAATTAAAAATCCAGATAAATCACGAGGGCGGCGGCGGCCGGTCCGGCCCGCGGGGCGGGGCGGGGTGCAGGGGGCGGCGCGCGGGCGCGGGGGCGCGGGGGCGCGGCTGCCCTTGAACGCCTTTGCCGGCCGGTCCGACTGTCAGCGCGCCGGGCGCGGCGGGGCCGAGACAGATAAAACCATCGACCGGTCGCCGCCAGCGCTTCGGCTTTATCGATCCGACGGGAATTTCACTTGCTGTGCAGATCCCGCTGTCCGGCTGTCAGACACCGGGTGGGGGGGCGTGCCAGGGGTTAGGGGTGCAGCGCCGGGCCCGCACGTGAGGGGCACAGAGGTGGGGGACGCAGGGCGCGGCCGCGAGGGGCGGGGGGAGGGCGTGGGGGGTGGGGAGACGGCCTGGGGGGAGGGGTGCCCCGAGAAAACGTAGGGGCGGGTTGGGGGTGTGGGTGCGGGGCGCGTCTGCAGGTAGATGTGATGCCCCGGGCGGTGCAGGGGTGGGGCCGCCCCTGACGAGGCCGCAAAAGAGAGCTTGGGCCCCCATTTGCCAGATCCTTAGGGGTCCCCGGCTTTTACAGGGGCCGCAGGTCCCCCCACGTACTTCTGTCACTATGCTCTGTTCTTACTCAGGGGAAGTCCCTCTGCGGGAAGCAAATTACTCGGAGACCCTCCAGACGGCCACCTGCCACCGAGTGGGCCTCAGCTGCGGAAGGGCATTTCTCAGGCTCTGCTGGTTCTAGGCTAGTCCCAGGTGTGTAGGTTTGGGGGTTCAGGGCTGTGTGTGTGTATGCTGGGAATTGGTTAAAAAGCATAAAAGCATGGCACTACAGTCAGAGCGCTTGGATTGGAATCTTATCCTTACCACTTTACAGGCTGTGCAAACTTAGAAAAGTCACCTAGCCCCTCTGTTCCTCAGTTTCCCCATCTGTAAAATGGAGTTAATCATTATCACCTACCCTAGACGGTTGTTGGGAAGGTTATATAGATTAATGGCACCTAAAGTACTTGGCATACAGCAAGTGTTCAAACCGGATTATTATTTTTATCATTTGTACAGTCTGCTGTGGTAGTTTTAAGTATTCTCACAAATTCTTTGATATTCCTCCTGTTAAGAAGGAGAGTTAATAGACTTTAGTTCTCCTCTCTGGGGTCGGGGCTGGACTTGGTGACTTGCTTCTAATAAAGGGAATAGAATACACTGGAAGCAATAGTGTATGAGTTCTGAGACTAGATCATGTAAGGCATTGTGGCTTCCTCCCTGGCCTCTCTCTGGGATCACTTCCTCTGTGGGAAGTGAGCAGCCTTGTCCTCGGGAAACTCAAGCTGTCCTCTGGAGACACCCACGTGTGGAGGAGCCTTCTTGGGAATGGCTCCCAAAGTCCCTGCATCAAACCAGACGACTGCAGCCTTGGCTGACATCTGAACTGCAGCCTCACGAGAGACTGAGCCAGAAGCCACGACGACCCACAGCTACCCAACTAAGCTGTTCCTGAATTGATGGTCCATAGACACTGTAGATAATAAATGTTTGTTGTTTCAAGCCACTAGGTTTGAGGGTAATTTGTAACACAGCAATAGATAACTAATACTTCTTCCTTTAAAATTCAGCTCAGGCTGCCCCTCCCCTAGGAGGCCTCCTCTGCTCTGTGCTAGGGTTGGTGCTTTCTCCACGCCCCATAGTTCTTCCCGTAGAGCAGCCTCTACCCCTCACAGTTTCTGTGGCTGTACCCCCCCTTACTCCCATGCAGGGAGCTTCTGGGGTGGGACCAGTTCTGGTTCACCTTCGGGTCTCCGCACCCTGCAAGGGGGATTAGGTGAGAGGATAGAAGGAAGATCAGTCAAGTCTGATGACTTGGATTGAACAAGGGATGGGGTGGAGCTGGGAGTGATGGTGCAGGCTGTCCCCCTCTGGCAGACAAATGTCCCAGATGTGGCTGCAACCATGTCTCCTATCCCACATGTTCTCCTATCATACGACCTTGCCACCCTCCCATCAAGAGGTAGGGTGTGTGTCTGCTTCCCTTCAGTCCGGCTGGACTGATACTGCCTCGACCAATAGAGAACAGCAGAAGTGGCTTTAAGTGACTTTTGAGGCTAGACTTTTGTAAAAGGTGATCCAGAATCCATCTGGTCGGCTGGACCGTTTGCTTTAGTGCCCTAAGCTGTCATGTAGAGAACGTGCAACCACCCGGAGGCTGCCCGGCTAGGAGAGAGCTCAGGCCTCCTGGAGAAACCAAGTGTAGGTGCTTCGGTCACAGCCACAGCTGAGGTCCCAGCGGACAGCCAGAATCAGTCATCAAAGTGAGTGAAGAGGGCTCCAGATGACCCTGGTTCCCAGCCATTGAGTATTCCTAGCTGGGGCCCCAGGATCCCAGAGCAGACACAAGCCTGTCTGAATTCCTGAACCCACAGATTCCACGAGTACAGTGAAATGCCTGCTTTAAATCACTAAGATTTGGGGGAAATTTGTCACACCCTTGCTCTGTTCCTTTGATAACCTGGCTCCTCTATAAGACCCTCTGAGAGGCTTCACCTGGTCCTTCAGGCAGGGAGGAAGGAGGTAGGGGAGAGCAGGGGGTTAGGGGACACGCCTGAGCACATCCTTGATCGTCGTCACCTTTCAGACCCTGAGATTCACAGAGAAGGTAGGGCTTACTCCCCTGGATGGCAGCACGAGGCCGCACTTCTCTGGTCAGGCTTCCAGGCCCGGCCCTGCTTCTGCTACCCTACCCTGAGGCTTAGCACGGCCGTGCAAGGCCCGTGGGGCAGTGGCTCATCCCTTTCCAGCTCATCTTGTGCCCTTTTGAGGCTGAGGCCTGAAGAGGGGACCACTCTCTTCCCAATCTCCGAAAATACAGCAAGAAGGGAAAAGCATCGCCATTCAGCTGGAGGATCCGAGGACTGAAAGGAGAGTAGAGGAGAGTAACAGGGGGGCCTTGCCTTCTACCTAGAGTCTGGGGAGTGGGCCAGGCGGCCGTTCCTGGGGCCTGGTGTCTAGAACCCTGAGCGGAATCCTCTGGCAGGCAGGCTCCCCCGGCGGGTGGCTTACCTGGCAGGCAGCTGGGCCAGCTGTTCCAGTTCTTGCTCCATATGCTCCTGCAACTCACTGGGCCTTAGCAGGACCTGGCAGATGGGGCAAATAGGGGCCTGGCTGTCAAACAATGCTGCTGCCTTTTTCTTACCTGGGGAGGGAAGAAGAAGAGACAGACAGATAAGCTGGGCTAGTCTGTGGATGGAAACCCAGCGTCCTGATCCTGCAATCCAAGCCTGCTGCGTCCCAGGGCTTCCTGGACTAGAGGAGGGTTGAGCCCGAGGGTCTTGGAGACCCTGACCATTCACTCTACTTTGTGGCTCGGGGCCCCAAATCCCACCTCCTCAGCTGTCTGCTCCTCTGGGAAATCTATCGGGACACAGTGAATGCTCCGTGCAATCCAACTTGGATCGCTTCATTTCATACAGGTTAGTGAAGGTCTTGGTTTAATCATACCATCACCCAGAATATCCAGTGCCCTCTCTGTCTCTCCTTTCTTCACTGGCTTTCATATTCTCCAAATATGGAGAAGGAAGAAAAGAGGGAGAAAGGGGATTCATTCCTGCAGTCATTCAACAAACGTTGTCTGGGGTCTCCTCTGAATCAGCCCCGGTGCAGAACTGTGGGACCACAGAATACAATCGGATCTAGTTCCTGCCCTCGAGGCCCTCACAGTAGAGTGGGGAGGAGCAAAAAGGACCCATGTGACTTTTGGGGGTAGTGTTCCCGAGCAGTTCCTCACTTTCCCAGTACTCTGCTCAGAGCCCCTTCTTTCCCTATTCTGCATGCAGGACGATCTTCCTTCTGTGGCCCTAACTCCCATCTGTGCCCTGTAGACTCCAGAATCTGTGTCTCTGCCCCAGATCCCTCCCTGATTCTCTCGGCCCCTGGACCAAGTGCCTAATGGACATCAGTGCCTGCATGTCCCCCAAGAATCTGAAACGCGATGAGCCAAAAACAAGTTCTTCAGTTTCTTTCTTTCTTTCTTTCTTTCTTTCTTTCTTTCTTTCTTTCTTTCTTTCTTTCTTTCTTTCTTTCTTCTTTCTAAGATTTATTTATTTATTCATGAGAGAGAGAGAGAGAGAGAGAGAGAGGCAGAAGACACAGGCAGAGGGAGAAGCAGGCTCCATTCCGGGAGCCCGACGCGGGACTCAATCTGGGGACTCCAGGATCATGCCCTGGGCCAAAGGCAGGCGCTAAACCGCTGAGCCACCCAGGGATCCCCCTTCAGTTTCTTCACCCCTTACAAAACTGCTCCCCCTGTAGCACCACCCGTCTTAGTAAATGACACCAGCACTCACCCAGTCACCCAAGCCTGGAAACTTTGCCTCCCCTGAAGCCCTTGCCCTTGCCTACTGTCGCTCCCATGTTCATTTAACTACCAGGTCCTGTCTGTTCTGCTTCCTCAGTATTCCTGGAATCTATACTCTTCCCGTTTGGGTCTCACTACCTCTCACATGGATAACCTCATTGGCCTCTTGTAAGCCTAACAGATTTTGGGTTCCCCCTCTAAAATACCCTTCAAATTGTATGGGAATACAAGTGGGTATTGTGCTGGCTTGGGGGCCAGCTGGGAACCTAAACTCTGTCCCAACTCTGTCACTGTCTCTGTCGCTGATGGTATCCAGAGCATACTATTCTAGAAAGGAGGCTGAAGGTTGCATACCTCTTGGGGGACCCTAAACCCTCTCCTTTGTTACTCTCTCTACCCACTGCTCCTCTGCCCTCTGCTTAAGGCGTGGGGCTGAAGAGGCCTATTCGTTTAGAAACATCCTTGCCTATCCATGTAAACGTTGACTGTAGAAAGACTTCTTTAGCTTTAGCCAAACTTTTCCTCCCTGCTACTTCTTCCCACTTTTGCCCAGGGAGGGTCACAATTAGCTTTCAGAGAGATAAAGGCCCTGCCAGTAATGACGGAGGTGGTTGGGTTGGGTTGCCAGATTAAATATAAGATGCCCAGATTAAATATGTTATGCGGCACCTGGGTGGCTCAGTTGGTTCAGCATCTGCCTTCGGCTTGGGTCATGATCTCAGAGTCCTGGAATCGAGCCCTATGTTGGGCTCTCTGCTCAGGAGGGAATCTGCTTCTCCCTCTCCCTCTGTGCTTTCTCTCAAATAAATAAATACAATCAAAAAGTAAAGTTACTCGGTTACATTTGAATTTCAGGTAAACAACAAATACTTTTTCAGTATAAGTATGTCCCAAATATTATTGCATGGTATGTACTTATGCTAAAAGTTATCATTGTTTTTCTAAAAGTCAAATTGACCTGGAGGTCTTATATTTTATTTATTTATTTATTTATTTAAATTTTTTAAAAAGATTTATTTATTTATTTATTTATTCATGATAGACATAGAGAGAGAGAGAGAGAGAGAGAGAGAGAGAGAGAGAAAGAGGCAGAGGCACAGGCAGAGGGAGAAGCAGGCTCCATGCCGGAAGCCCGACGCAGGACTCGACCCCAGTACTCCAGGAACATGCCCTGGGCCAAAGGAAGGTGCCAAACCGCTGAGCCACCCAGGGATCCCCGGTCTTATATTTTTATTTGCTAACTCTGGCAACTCCATGTCTGAGGGAGCTCCCAGTTCAGGCTAAGCACAAGAACCCACTTCCCCTTGACACAAGGCTGACGTTGGTCACAGCTCTCCTGGATGCCCAGACTGAGTCATCTGAGCACTCAGAGGAGGGAGTAGTTTATTCTGGGTGTACATTTTGAGGAGTGAAAAAAAGGAAGTCTTAACCAAAGAAATGAAATTTAAGTTGCACTTCAGATGTGTTTCAGGCAGAGAACAGGAGCAGACGAATGAGTTGTGAGTTTCTTGTAGGCAGGGGCCATTTCTTATCCAACTTTATATACAATTGAAAACAGACCCGGCGTTGACTAGATGTGCAGTAATGCAGCGAAGGAGAAGAAAAGAGGAAGGGAGGGGGGTAGGAACAAAGAGCAGATCGTCCTAGAAGCCAGATGATCTTCACAGAGCTGGGATGCCCACCGTGGAAGCTTTGTGTGTGCAGGGTGGGATAGGTGTAGCTCGAGTCTGTGTGGTCAGCTCTCTGAGAGAGGAAGGGGCCCCACTGATCATGTGCTTTGGTGGCTATGCCTCAGATGCTCAGAGGACAGCTGGAAGGCAGCTATGAGTAAAAGAAGCAGATGTGGCCTGGTCTGGAAGATGGGAGATGAAGATTCTAGTCTCAGCTCCGCCTCAAACTTCATTTAGCCAGGGACTCTCCAAGGTGAGTGAGACCCTAGACATCCTGCAGGCCACTACCTTTGTTTTAGAGATGGGGAAACCGAGGCTCCAAATTGGATAGTGACTCCTGTACCCAGCTCATGATCTCAATCCTTCATTTATTTATCCACTCAGCAAACATTTTTTAAACAATTATTTAGCTTCAGGTATTATTCTGGGAGAAATTGGAATTCAGAGAGAATTAAACACATTCTTGGCCTGAAGGAGGTCACAAAGTAATGGGAAAGCCAAAGTAAGGTCCACGGTTTCATTCAGTGCAGC